CCTGTAGCTCATTCAGGAAAGGATCACAGGCAGGCAAGTGCTTTAGATGAGTGAAGTCCATAGTTGGTATGCTGATCTTTGGGCTAGTGTGTTCAGAAGCCACTGCATCCATGAAACAAACACATCCTCAAGAGACTGAATTTGGTGTGCGTGTGTGTGTGTGTGTGTGTGTGTGTGTGTGTGTGTGTGTGTGTGTGTGTATGTATGTATGTGTATGTGTAACATGAGGGAGAGCTGCTGGCCTAGAGGGCAGGTTTCTGGTACTAGAAGTGTAATTCTTTCTTTTTTAGAACACAAGTGCTAGAAACAGCTCTCTTCTCTGTAGGAAGCAGCCACTGAGCTACCTGACACAAGGTTCCTTACATGAACTGTGCCACTTCTGGATTGGTTTGTTGGAAGTTTGCTTTGTGTTTTTAAGATGTTTCAAAAGTATAGCAACAATGCAGTGTCCCTCACAATGCTTATGGTTAGTACATTGACATTTGTAGCCATTTCACACTTCATTGTAACTTCTTGTTGTTTATTGTCATTTAATATCATTCCAACTTTGTATCAACAGTATTAAAGTCCCATTGACAGACATTTATCCTGACACATTTTCTACTCCAAATGTTTTATTTTCTAATTGACCTGTTTATTGAAGATGTTAGGAGTATGCGGACATGTGTGCATTTTTGCTCATTTCTTTCTGGAAGGAGAACTATAGAAGATTTTGTTAGTGCTCAGTTGTGTCATTAGAGTCTTTTTATTGATGAGTAAATACCTGATCAAATGTTACAAACTAAAGCTTCTGCCCTTCCTTTATTCAGGTAATTTTGGCTCACTCAATTAAGGTCCAGAATCAACAAATCAGCACATATTAAAATCTCTAAAATTGTGATATAAGTCTCATTATTGAACACTTTGGGGCATGTTAATTAATAGTCCACCTGTTCTCCCTTCATTCCATTTTGATCTGGAAAATAAACATTAACATTAACTTTAGATTTTTAAAAGTCTAGTATCATATGTAATTAATCAGTTTGAGTATCCAAAATAATTTTGAGTATTAAAAAACGTACAAGAAAACAACAACAACAACAAAAGAGGAGACCTGTTCTACCTTACTTTTAAACATACTGCAAGACTGCATAACACAAAGACATAGAGTAATGCATATACTAGATAGGCTAGAAGTAGGTGGTCTATATTTTTAATGAAGAGGTTAAAAACACACAAACTGATAAATGATCATTTTAAATTTAATTTTAAATCTTCATTATCATTTAATTTATATCTTCATGTGTGTGTGTGTGTGTGTGTGTGTGTGTGTGTGTGTGTGTATGTGCACTCACAACCCATGTGTGCAAGAACCAACAAGTTCCAGCAGAGGGCACTGGATTCCCTGCAGCTGGAGTAAAAGAGAGTCATGAGCCACCAAAGTGGGTTCTAGAATTCCAAAAATATGGACTTCTGGAAAAGCAGCATATATTTTAACCACTAAGCCATCTCTCCATCGCTATGTATTCACTTAAAAATAAATTCATATTACATTTTTTTTGTTGTGAACATCAGAGGACTTTTTGTTGGAGTCAGGTCTCTCCCTTCACTATGGTCCAGAGACCAAATTGAGATCCTCATGGTTGGCTAAAGTCTTTTTACCTGCACCTTTATCCATGTAGAAATCCCTGGCATGCATATATATTTCATATATATCTACATCTATCTATCTATCTATCTATCTATCTATCTATCTATCTATCTATCTATCTATCTATCTGTGTGTGTATGCATTTACAAGCAAATTACTAAAAAATATAAATAACAGTAAGGACTTATACCTAAGATATATAACTAGTGAAATACTAGCAAAACAAAACAAAACAAACAAACAATAAAGACAAAGTTGAAACACTTCAGGAAGCTTTGTTTTCCTGCACAAGACTCCAAAAGCACTTTCTCTCTCTCTCTCTCTCTCTCTCTCTCTCTCTCTCTCTCTCTCTCTCTCTCTCTCTCTCTCACACACACACACACACACACACACACACACACACACACACACACAACTTCAGGTTTCCTTCCATATTTCCTTTTGTTTTTCATGCAAGTCTTTTCTGTACTGCCTCTGCAAGCTTCTCAGACATCTTTTTCCATCTCCAGTTCAACTGGAAAATATTCAGAGGAAGGAATTTTCTATTCTGATTTATCTCTTAATGGTGAGCATTGGACATCTCTTCCTCTTTCAGCTGTACTACAATCAGTCAGAGAGTTACCTAGAATGATTTGTTATTTGAAATGTCCAAACATCACCTGCCATAGATGAATCACAGTTAGTTCCAGCAAAGCTCCTGTACCTCAAAGATGCAGCCATTCTGTGTGATCTTCCACGTTCATTTTTTTAACTAAAAATAGGAACTTTTTTGGAAGTGTGATCAAAACTATCATAAATTTGTCAATCAGGGACATGCTTAAGAGAAATAAATGGTCCAAGAAAAGGGGTCCTTGACACAATTTAGGGTTCCAAACTTAACTGAGGCCCCTTCCTACATATATCACAGAAAAACTGGGGTAAATGAGTCAGGTGGTGGCAGCAGCTGAAAGGGTCAGGGTTGCCTTCAATACAACCAATCAGCTGAGCCTTGACATCATGAAACATTTTAAACATGCATATATTTAACATACATATTAGTTATGATTTCTTGTCACTATGACAAAAGACACTGATGAATGAAACTTAAAGAAGGAAAGACTTAAGTCAGCATGTAAAAAGGAAGACATGCTGTCTATCATGTTTTAGACTTTAGGGAGGAAGAGAAGGGTTTTCAGGGAGAAGTATGCAGAGATGGAGCATCTTTTAAGGCAAAGACTTTATTAAGAGTTGTTAACACCAACGACTGACCTCCCTACTTGATATTTCTCCCAGTAAATTTGACAAACACTCACCAAAAATATTTGGACTTACTATTTCCTTTGCTAAAATACTATATAGCCTTCATGAACTGTGGACACTTGGATGTGCTAGTCCACATAGAGAATAGATGGGAGACTGAGTTTCTTCCATTGGGCAAGAAATCAAGTAAACCACATGATTCTACATGAAGACCACTAAGAAACACTACTTAGAAACAAAATCAGTAAAAAAATTTACTTTCTTATTCTAAATCATTGTCTAGAAGGATTTCTTAAGAAGTACTTTGATGTATTCATTACATGTAAGCGCAATGAAAATGTACGACAGAGTGTTATACTATTCAAGTTTTTACATTAAATCTATATTCAGTTTCTGTGTGATGAAATAATATCTGCTGTTCCTCTTGCCTTGAAAAGGGCTGTAGCTCTCTATGTGGATGTTGTGCTAACCAAGTCTCCATTGTTGCTGGTTATCATCCTTGGAGAGCCAGCCTCCATCTCCTGCAGCATTGGTCAGATCCTGTTACTTATTAATGCAAACACCTATTTGAGTTGGTACCTGAAGAGACTAGGCAGGTCTCCACAGTTCCTGATCTATAAGTTTTCTACCCAATTTTCTGAGGTCCTAGACAGACATGATGGCAGTAAAGCAGGGACAAATTTCACACTCAAAATCAGCAGGGCAGAGCCTAAGGATTTGACGTTTTATTATTGCTTTCAAGGTACACATCTTCCTCTCTTGGTGGTACACTTTGAATGAAAACTTTTTGTTTTTTTTTTTTTTGCTTGGAGGAGTCAGCTATCCTCACATGTTTATCTGGAGAGCACCTGAACAGCTCCTCCAGGATCTTATAAGAAGTAAATATTGAGTCATGCAGGATGACATTTCACAGCTGCTGCATTTTCCAGGTTGCCTTGCAACAGATACACTGTTGGCATGCCATAAGCAGCAGCAAAGTACAGCGGTGCCAAGGGTAGTTCAGAACACCCAGACATGAAGCAGGGATAGTAGACTGGTTAGTCTTCCTAACTGTCCTGAATGTGTGCACTTGCACAGATTAAAATCATCCATGAATATAGCCAACTAAATGAGGGTGTGGATGACTCATGGCAACCAAAACACATCATACAACACACACACACACACACACACACACACACACACACACACACACACACACACACAAAACGTACACATGGAAGTCAAAGAACAAATGCAGAGTAGTTCTTTCCTTCTATCACATGGATACCAGAGTTCAAACTCAGGATATCAGACTTAGAGATGGATGACTTTACTCATTAAGCTTATATTTTGGCCACATATCAAACACATATATCACATTTATAAGTTTTTTTTATTATACTAACATTGTGTTCTTGAAGATTGAGTATTCTGTTCAGTAATTTGTACACATGCAGCATGAAAACTTTTTTGATAAAACTTCCCTCCTTCTTGAGGCAGAAAGATTAGCAGGGCCAGGGGTGGTAGGTGACACCAAAGAAATAGTTTCATCCAGTCACAACAGGGCTGATACACATATGAACTCACAAGGATGGTGATAGCACACACAACCTGTACAACTTTAAACTAGACAAAATCCTAGAAGAAATAAGGGGAAGTGGACACAAAGTCCCAACCTTAACCAAGAAGCTCTTAGCAATTGATTACTGGTGGCAAAGGGAAAGACAGTTCTCTCTAATGTAGTGTCACAGTCTCCAATGTGATATCACAATTGTATATTGTAAAAAAAAAAATCATTCATTGTATACAACATATTAATTAGTTCTAAGACTTCCCTATGTTACCTTCATAAAGTTTTCTCAAAAATAAAAAAGTCACTTTCAAATCCACCCTTCTCACTTGCATATTCCCTTAACTTCCTCTGTTCTTCAGTTCAGAAGAGGCACAACAATGGATTCTCCTGTCCTCAAGCCACCAAAAGAGGAAACTTATGTCCATCTTGTTTTTCATATTACAGGATAAACTTTAGTAAATTTTCTCAAAAGCAAAAGCATAGAGTCAAAAGTTTAGTACTGTATCAGTCACAGCATGTTGAAATAGAATGGCTATTATGTGAATTCCAATGTTGGAACAGAATGCCACATTCGGACAGCATAGAAATATACGTTTTATTCAACATAATTTGAGTAAACAAAGGAAAAAATGGATCAAAATCAAGGAAATAAAAGAGTTTGAAGACTTTGGTTGAAGGTGGTAAAGAGAACATGAAGTGCCCACTTGGGGGTCAGTTGTTCACACACTCAGTCTATGACTCACATTTGTTGCTGGAGCAGGTGAGTCAGTGATGCATGGTGAACAAGTTGTAAGATGAAGCTTATTTCCAGTGGAGAATCTCAGAGTTGCAGGTTATTTCCTGTTGCAACTACAAGCTTGGGGATGGCTGATGCATCATACAGGACTTTTAACTCTGACGTGACTGTGGTGGCAGTACCCTTCACTTTCAGTCTTCTGTCACTCCTCCTCAGAGGAACTTTCAGCCTGCAGTCTCTGCTTACAACATGTACCCTCTCCTCTATAAGTGTATTATACTTTATCTTTTATAATGTAATTTCACTATATCTATTAATTGCTTAGACATGCTTAAATCTATAATTACCTACCATTGTGTTATTACTGAGTCCAATTGTCAATATGCTCATTTTCTCTATAGGTGCCTTACTTAGGAACAATGGTATATATCAAAATCCTTAGTAGGTAGAATGATTTATAATCTAGGCTTATATTCATTTACTTTGTGATATTTACACAATTGTAAAATTATCTTGTGATACATTACACAGAATTCATTGTTATTATCAATCAAGATATGACTGTATATGGATATTGCTATAATTCATTGTATGGTTTATTTCAAAATTTCTTTATATTCCCTTTGCCTATTCTGAATAATGCTGGTGTGAACAGGGGAGAGTGCAAACATTCATACTGCTTTCAGGTTTCAGTTCTCCTGAACTTGGAGTACCTTGCAGTGAAATTGGTCAGTGAAATGGAAGGCATATCCCTGGGTTCTTCATCAGGTCCCATGTTGTCTAGGGGCTGTTCCTCATTTCCATGCCAAGTAATAATACAATAATTTATGATCTCTCCACAGATAAATTATTTGTCATTTATTCTGTTATCAACTTAATAATTACTGTGAAGTAATATTTCATTATGGTATTGATTTTTTATTTTTTATATTTATTTTTTATTTCTTATATATTGAGTATAAATCTGATAACATATTAGAATGAAAATGAAGCATTTTTTCTCAACCTGTCTTACAGGTTGACAGGAGTGGCCTCCAACACAATCATGTTCTGCTCATGTTTCACATTTGTTTTCAGTTTTCAGTAATGCAATTGTGTAGATCCAGGCTCTACTCTCTGTCTATGGCTCCTGGGAACATTGCTGCCATTGTCTTCAGGCCAGTCAAGGCACAAGCTGACACTGCTGACATTGGTACTAGCAGAATCTGGATCAGGCTCAAATGATCCACACACAAATTTCTGTACTGTCTTTCTCTGAAATCCTCTCATGGTCAGTGGTAAAGAAACCTCATTACATTTCATACTCACCATAAGCATCCTGCATTCTAAACACAGTGTACTTTACTACTGTCATGGAATCCTCAGTATTTCTCATAACATGCAATAACACTTTGAAATGCTAACTCTATCCACTACAAAGACAAACCAGAAAATGCCATGTAATTTTAATTCTTGTATATGCCTGAGTGGTCATTACCCAAGCTATATGGGTGAGTCTGGATCACCCCTGACACACACAGGTAGAATGTAACACAAGTTACTGTTTCATACCTTAGTTGCAACTTTACCCATGGTGATTTTTCAAAGAAAATAGATACATTTTAGAGATAGAGCTATTTCTTCCTTATGAGGCTTTATATACTGTGTCCTTTTGGAATCCATTAGCTAGAAGGAGTATAAATGATCTGTGTGTTAGAATATATCATAGAGAAATCATATAGTTATCATAGATGCATGAAGCATTTTGGTTGTTGGTTTTGGTTTCATAGTGAATCCAAGTATTCTGGTCTTAGCAAGTTCTAAGAGTGAGAAAACAGAATCCTCTGAAGAAAGTCTAGTGAGTAAGGCAGGAGTTTAGGACTAAGGAAGCTGAAAATAAGAATATTCACCTGGATGGTGATGTTACATGGCCTTAATCCCAGTACTTGGGTAGTCAATGCAGGTGAATCATTGGGTTTGATGGGAGCCTGGTCTACAGAGTAAGTTACAGGATGGCCAGGGCTACACAGAGAAATCTTGTCTCAAAAAAACAAAAAAACAAAAAAAAACAAAAAAACCTTCAATTGCCCAATAAGAGACTCTTGGTCAAAGACTGAGGAAACAGATCATTAATCAGTGACCATGGATTTAAGCGATGAAATGAAGTTAACAATTGGAAAGATCCACTCCTATTTATTGACTTTCATTCAAAGTGTGGTAGAACAAACTACCCCTAAGACAGAGCATCTTTTATTGCTCACCAAGGTCTTATAATGAATGTTTCCTCCCCCATCACTCTGAGATGTAAAACTCAATTTTGAAATCTTCACTTTTATCTCAGAATTTCCATATTGGGATCACTATCCTTTTAAAAGTTTTAAGAGAATGGCTTTCCTTCATTTTTTTGAGTACTTATACAATGATAATTCTCATGCTGCATCTGAGTTGATGGCATCTCCTACTGATGTCACCATATTTATTCATGAAAAGTTAAAATCAGTACTCAAATAATTTTGTTCTTTTTTCTTTATAGTGCATTTTGTATAAAAGTAAATAAATGTGTTTAGGAAATGACTATTGGACACAGGAAGAAACTCATTGATTTTTCACAACATAAGATTGTTTCAAGTGGAAAGAATAAATTTGAAGACACTGAAGTTGAGTATCTTGATTGTTCAATCAGATGGTGAGGAAGGATGGGGCAGAATGACAGTTACAACCTCTTCAGTATTTTCCTGATCTGTCTCCATTTGCTTTAAAACATATTCTTTACACTCTTTCAATCGCTTTTTTATTTATAAGATTAAGTAAACAGTTGTAATTAGTTGTCCTGATATTTGGTGGCTGCCCAAGGTCAATCCTCTCATGGCCTCTTAAAGACTGACTACTCCCTCCAAAGTCTACATGAATCTCACCACTGGGATTTTCCTTCTTCCTTTGTTGCATGAGAAACATTTATGCTGGGCGGTGGTGGCATATGCCTTTAATCCCAGCACTCAGGAGGCAGAGGCAGAGGGATCTCTATGAGTTCAAGGCCAGCCTGGGCTACAGAGTGAGTTCCAGGACAGGCTCCAAAGCTACACAAAGAAACCATGTCTCGAAAAACAATAAATAAATAAATAAATAAATAAATAAATAAATAAATAAATGAAACAAAAAAATTAATATTTAATATTTTGTATAGGAAAATCTTTACCTTATTCAAAACTATTCTCTTTATTTTAAAAATTTTTTCATATTTTCTAGTTATAAAAGTAGATATTACATGAGTTGAATAAAATGCAGTAATTTTGGCATTAAGATATGCAGTTAGAGTCTAAATTGGAGGTGTCCACCAGGTCTCTCCCTTCAGAGATTGGGAACCCTGTGGTTCCCTGTGGAAAGAAAGACAGTAGGAGTCAGAGGGGATGGAGGACAGGAGAGAATATGGCCCACTGAATTAACTAGGCAGGACTAACATTGGTTCACAGAGGCTGAAGCAGCAAGCATTGGAACTTCAGTGGGTTTGCACCACGTCCTCTGCATTTGTGTTATGGCTGTTAGCTTGGTGTTTTTGTGGGACTCTTAACAGTGGGAAGCAGTGTATCTCTGACCCTTTTGCCTGCTCTTGAGACTCTTTTCCTCCTACTGTATTGCCTTGTCCAGCCTCACTATGAGGGCTTTTGCCTTGTCTTATTGTATCTTCTTCCTCTTGTTTGGATGTCATGTCTTGGAGGTCTGCTCTTTTCTGAAAAGGAAACAGAGAAGGAGTGGGTCTTACAGATAAGAGAAGTTGGGGGAGTCTAGACAGAGTTGAGGTAGGGGTAACTGTGGTTGGGATGCATTTATGAGAGAAGAATCTCTTTTAAATGAAAAAAGTGTATGTTTTCTAGCCTTGGTAATATGTATGTGCATGGAGGAGTGGTGGTGATAAGATATGACGTGTAGATGTAATTCTAAACGGTCTTATTAAATAAGAAACAGAGCCAAATAAAGAGTTAAAAGGCCAGAGATCAGAGCAGTAGCCAAGAGCTAAGACCACTTTATCTTACCACTTGCTGCTGTCCTTCCCCTGAGAAAGAGACTTTCTTCCTGTGTCCTGTCTTTCCATTTTGTCCTGTTTGTCATTAGTTGATTCGTTGATACTTTGTTGTCCAGTGACTAACATTTGCCACAAAGTAAGTTAACTCCATATGCAGTTTCTTCAATGCCCATATCTTCTCTGAAATAGATTGGTGCTGCCAGGAGCCAACATGTCTCATAGTCATAAAAAATAAAAAATTTCAAAGTTAGCCGGGCGGTGGTGGCGCACGCCTTTAATCCCAGCACTCAGGAGGCAGAGCCAGGTGGATCTCTGTGAGTTCGAGGCCAGCCTGGGCTACCAAGTGAGTTCCAGGAAAAGGCGCAAAGCTACACAGAGAAACCCTGTCTCGAAAAACCAAAAAAAAAAAAAAATTTCAAAGTTATTAAAACATTTTAAATGCCATATTCTGTAGATCTCAGATGGGCTTAAAGATGATCTGTCTATCTAAAATATATCTGCTTGACCTTATAAACATACCTAAAATGACTACCAGTTTGAGTGTAATGTCTAACTACTAACTTTCATTTTTTCATATCCTAATAGTTGGTAATAATAACATTCAAGGATTAGCAAATTGCATTACATTGTTAAATGAATGGTATAAGTACAATTATCTTGAACAAGATTCAAAATATATGTATAGCATTTTCTAACAATATCAATTTCAATATATATAATTTGTATACAATATGCAAAAATCCAATCCAATGCAAAGTATTTAAAACTACTAATAGTTTTTTAAAAATAGATTCAATAATCTTTTTATCTATATCATATACGTATCTTCTCTTTACTTTTACAAGTAGACTCAATAATCTACCCTCTATTTTATCATTTCTATGTATCTTTTTTTTTTAAACAAGAACCTTAAATCTAATCTCCTTTGCTTATCCTTTTCCTAACCCTTAACAACAACTTGTAACCAACCCTCCTAAACAATGAAAATTATCCCAGACCCAAAACCCATTAAAGACCAAAAACCACCCACCCCAAACTACCTCTTTGGGTATGTGGGCATTGTGTTCTTAAAATTGTTTCCTGCTGGATATGGGCAAAGGCATCTTTAGGGAATCCTGAAAAGAAAATTTTTTGGATTAATTGTCAAGTCCTGAGAGAGTTAGCTGTATCATTTGTCCGGTCTCTGCATAATGGGAAAGTACAGAGCTGTCTCAAGCCCTTGCTCGGTTGCTCCATTAGTCGTATATTTGGACCATCTCAGCTAGCCATCTCGAAATTGTCCTGAGCATTTTGTAGTCAATCTTTAAAATGGTGTTAATGGCTTTGCCATATAGTCCATGTGGAATCATCATTGTGGGATCCCGTCACCTTTTTGAAGATTTCAAAGTCACTGTTAGGTGTGGTCATGGTTCCCTGAAGGCTTTTTTTTTTTTTTTTTTTTTTTTTTTTTTTTTTTTTTGTGCCTCTTCTGTCGTTTGGCGCAATCACAGTCTGATAAATGTCTCTCTCTTGGAACCATGAACATTCTATCCTAGAAGAGAAAATCTTCCCAGCAATTTCTCCCCACCATTTGTCTTGCCAAACTTTTCCAAACTGACCTTTGCCGATGCTTTCTTGTAACACGATGGTCCTGGCAATTCTTCACTGAACAAGCAGCAATAAACCCTTCATCCCAAGTAACAGCATCACTGTAGTCACCAACATGAGAAGCAGCCAGCAACTTGGAGCAGCAGCCACTGCCTCCATGGTCCCACCGCCACCGTTTGTGTATCAGCCCTGCCTGCAACTTCTCCTTAGAAAACCTCTCAGGCTGGCCTCAAACTCAGTATCCTCCTGCCTCTGCCTCTTTCAGCAAATTCTACTGGTGTGTGCCTTCACAACCGGCCAGGCCTGAGCTGGGGCCCTCAAAGCCACAGGCAAGTAGCTTTTTTGAGAATTCCTACCACGAATTTTGGGTGCCAGATGTATCATGAATCTTAAAAGGTCTTATTAATAAAAACAAACCTGGAGCCAGGTATTTGGGTGAATGCTGAAAGATCAGAGAAACAGAACAGGTCACAGCTAACCTCACCTGGCCAATTCCTCAGCTGATCCTGTTTCCTCAGACTGGAAGCCTCTGAGTCCTCATCTAGTCTCAGCTGAACTGCTGCTAGAAGCCTAAAAGCTTAACCTGCTCTAGTTCCTGGTTTTCACTCCTTAAATACCTTTCTGCTTTCTGCCATCACTTCCTGGGATTAAAGGCCTGATTCACCATGCCTGGCTGTTTCTAGTGTGGCTTTGAACTCACAGAGATTGGGATGGATCTCTGCCTCCCAAATGATAGGATAATAGGCATGTGTGCCACTTTTTTTCTGGCCTCTATGTCTATCTAGTGGCTATTCTGTCCTCTGACACCAGATAAGTTTATTAAGATGCACAATATATTGGGGGACACAATATATCACCACAGTGACATTAGAGCCCGCCACTCAGTCTCTTATTGAACATTTATGTATCTCTGCATGGACTGCTGCCTGGTGCAAAGAGAAACTTCTCTGACCAAGGTTGTAGGCAATCCTAGTTAGTGGATATAAGTGTCAGTATTCCAAAAGCAGTTTATCAGCACAACTACTTAGCAATATAACAACAGCTTGAAGTCACAGCTGCTGTTCTTACATTCACTTTGATCATGGAAACCAAACATTAGGCATAAAATTTATGAAGTGCTCTTCAGCTCCCATCCCTTATAGAGAAATATTGGCAGTTGATAGCTGCTAAGGGAGGAAGAATTATTGCTTTTTAGGATGTGGTCACTGGTAGGTTTCCCATGACACAGTGTATGGGCCTATACCATTACCATAAGGGTTTTAATAATTAGACTAAATGAGTTATCAAGAAACAACACAAAACAAAAAGAAAAGACATAATTTTAGGAGAATGAGGTATTGGAACAGCACAAGGAGGGTAAAATGAGGGATAGATATGATTATGTTTTATTGTATACATGTATGAAATGATCAAAGGAGGAAAATCCTTCCGGACCAGACTGAAAATATCAAGTAAAACCTCACTGACTCATGTGTGATGTTCTCTTTCCATGTCCCAAATTCTCCAACATGTGAAAACGTATTTTCTATAGAAAACTAGACACATATGCTATTACTTATTTAAACAATAAACAGAAGGTTATAATTATACAGATTTCTAGAGGAATATGCTCTATTGATTTGAACACATATTCTTCAGCTAAGGCTTCAGTGCTTGAGTCTCAGAAACCAATTGCTTGAGTTCTAATATAGAAGAAATAGTATTTAAGCCCTCCCACTCTGAATTAGAGGGTTGTATCTGTCTATTTGAGTCCTATAACTAAATGGTAGAAATTCTATTCATCTAAACAAATATTTGTCCTTGTAATAACTGTCTATTGTGAATTGTAGGCATTTTTCATAACTTCATTCCTCCTTTTCCATCTTTAATGTATCAACACTCTTGTAGTAAGTGGCCACTAGAGAGTCATTTATCATGTAAAAATGAGGATTACTTGTCCCTTTAGTTTTCTTTATTGGGTTGCCAATATGACAAAACTAAAACAAACAGACAAATAAAGTCAGGTTCATGTAACCAGGAAGATGCTATGCTGAAAAAACATTAGCAAATATAAAGTGTGTTGAAGAGACTGTTTTAGTTCTGTGGTGCTATCTTGGAATGCTTGGTGCTTATAGATTCTATATGTCTCTATTTATGCAAACTTACATAGTGGCATCCAACTGCCCCCTGGTATAGGCAGTGGGGTATGAATCCCACTTTTCTGCAATCACAGGAGACACTTTATGTTACTTTGCTCTTAAGGGTGGGTTTTCACTCCCTTGGTTCTTTTCACACAGCTGTATCAACCAGAGTATTTGCATATTGCTCCCTAGGGTTGACTTCTCCTTGCAAGTACAGGACAAAAGCTAGGCCCTCTTTCTGCCTTGTCTACTCAGGACTCTTCATATCAACTTCTCAGAATGAAGTTCCCTGGTCAGCTCCTGGGGCTGCTTGTGTTTTTTGCTCCCTGGTAAGGTAGAAACAAAGATGAAGAAGGATATTGTGAAGGGGTTGGGGATTTCTGGGGCCCTGCTGATACAAATAAATGTTCTGTCCATATGGGAGATTGCCAGGGTCATTCTCCATGAATGGACTTGTTAAATTTAGAGGGTGAAGAGCAGAGAACCTGTGCTCTTGTGGCAACTCTGCCAAGTATCAAAGCAGCTGGTCCAGGTGATTTCTAGTGAGTCTCTATGCTCTCTCTACATAGGTATTGTATGTTGAATATTTATAAACTATGAATGAGTCATTGACATAATAAGTAGGAAATAAATAAAGGAAGGAAATATTATTTACTGTGTCATTTTGTTTGAACATAACCTTTCATTTCTGTTATTTCAGGAGTCAGTGGGGATATTGTGATGACCCAGCCTGTACTCTCCAGTCCTGTCACTCTTGGAGAAGCAGCTTCCATCTCCTGCAGGTCTAGTAAGAGTCTTCTACATAGCAATGGTATCACTTACTTACATTGGTACCTGCTAGAGACCAGGCCAGTCTCCTCAGCTCCTGATCTATCGAATGTCCAACCTTGTCTCAGGAGTCCCAAACAGGTTCAGTGGCAGTGGGTCAGGAACCGATTTCACACTGAAAATCAGTAGAGTGGAGGCTAAGGATGTGGGTGTTTATTACTGTCAACATAGTATAGAATATCCTCCCACAGTGATGCATCCCTGAACAAAAACCTCCCTGAGTGAGGTACAAAGCTGCCTCATAAGTTCCTTTTTTGGGTGTAAAGTGGTGTAACCAGCATGGCATAATTACATACCCTTCCCCAGCACAACGCTTTAGTAGATTTAACAACTACTCCAAATTAAGTACTCAACTCTAAACCTTACACAGTACAAACTTTTCCATTTATATGCATTTACCTGGGAACTTTATAATTTCCTTTTTCTTTGTATCCAAATAAAGAAATGATTTTTTAACAATAAAGAAAATGAAGTAATAGTGATCTCAGGAAACTGAAAGCAAGTGAAGATCATCATATTTCTTGGGTTAAGTGGATATCAGAATGAGAATGACAACTATCACATGATTACTCTCCTTTGTGTTTATTAGACTATATATAGATACATATAATCACATGTGTGTATATGATACAATTTAGTAGTGAAACTTTCTAGAGGAAAATTTTTTAAGTTTTGTATGTGGGGTCAAGGTTTTAGAAGACACTGAGATGGATAACTGAGGACCAAGGTATGTATTATAACAGTTACTAATGCTCTAGACAGAAAGACCAAGGGAAATACCATGGTGGGAGCTACAGGGAGAGTTTAGTTCCTAGCACCAGAGATAGCCAGCATGGAGGGGAAAATCTCTGCAGGGAATCAGATCTTACTTGAGAGAAGTGCAATCTATTTCTAATGACAGGGGCGGGGAGTAAAAAAACAGCAGCCTAGAGCCAAGCTCTCTGATTCCTATTTGAAAAAGAGAGTGAGTACCAGGATGTTCCTGGTGCCCATACCTTAACAACAGCACCCTTTTGTTATCTCCCTTCCCAGATGAGAGCTCCATCTTCAGTGTCCCTATAGGGAAATGTCACACAAGAGCAGGAGAGCTGTTGCAAACTGGCTAGGTGAGACTAACAGGAAGGGGAAAAAGGGGAATATGGGGAACATATAGGACATAATAACCTCAAGGATAAAATGCATGAAAATTTAGCAAAATATATTTAAATACTGTTTGATCTCTCTTATTGTCAATTTTGTCATCTTTAGAACGGAGTGTTCTTACAGACTTAGATTTTAAATGTCTCATATACTGACTTTCTAAGATTTGTTAATCATATCACTGAGAGTTATTTTGGGAGCAAAAAATATCAGAAAACTTCTTAAGCTTTATAGTTTTACTGAATAAAATCCCACAATTTTTTTTAATCAACATGAGATGGTGTGAGTTTTTTACTTCTGTAGATTAAGGAGTGGTCCAAAAATAATTTCATAGCCTTTCAAAGATTGTCCAGTGCATGGGTCTCTGACATTGTCTCAGAAATTCATGGCCTGTGCCCCCAGTGCCCCTTACTAATCCAGAATTTTATACCTATGCCTTTTTTGTCAGGTGTTCAAAACAAGAAAACATTTTATATCATTTTCTTCACAAAAGTGGTCCTTTCCCATGCTTGGCTTTTCTCAAACAGCTGCACAGATCTGTGAATTGCATATTTTTCTCTAGGGAGATCCATCCATGCGAGTCTGAGATTGAAGTTCAGCTGCAGTCTTGCCTTGACTACCAATGGTGCTTCCGTTCAAGTATTAAGATTGAGGTAGCCAGTCTTGATCCTGGGACTGCTGATATTCTGGGATGAGAACAGCAGTGTTGAACAAGGAGAACACACAGGGGTGGACAAGTGCTTAATGGGACAATGTACTTTTGTCCTTCCCACACTGCCCTAAGTTTTACTTACTATACTGTTTGACACTCCAGTTCCAAAACACTTTCCTTCAAGTCTGTTTTTAAATTAATTCATTAAGAGGACTTAGAATCCAGAGAAGGGAACACAAATTTCCTGCTTCATTTTATCCTCTACACACTACCATTCCTATTTCTACTTTTTCATATCATACATGATTCTCCAGTATTGGGGCTCTCATGTCACTAGGTAAAACTAACTGTACAATGAAATCATTGGGTTTTCAAAATCCTAAGTGTTCTTTGACATTGGAGTTTTAAAAAGATATGAAAGCTGGCAGATTCTGTATCTCAGGAAGCCAACTTTTGCAACTTTTTTAAAACTGGGATCTGTGATTGGTATGTAAAATGAACAAAAATTTCTTAATAAAAAATAAAAGTCTTCCATTCTGAGTAACTAATAGTTTAATAAAATACAAAGTTGCAAAAGGCTATTATCAATCAACTTTGAATATTCTCTACCACAATATGTTAATATAAAAGGTCACATTTTCTTAAATTTCCAAGAAAGAGTTTAAAAATGAAAAAATAAAGTCTGTAATTTGGTATGGTCTTCAGACTTACACATCAAAATGATAGTGGAAAATAGAAAAAAAAATGTGAATTCCTTTATAGGAAATAATGAATCAGAAGACTGAAAAGGTTTTAGAAAGTGAGACTATGGTAGTCACATAGTCTGGCATTGTTTAGTACTGAGCCTATGGATTACATACTTTGATGTTTGGGATGACTTAGGAGGCAATGTTCATTCAAGAAAGTGCATGTACTTAAGAAAATTTGAACTTCTGAAGATTCAGTGTAAGCTCAAGAACCTTGGATTAGAGGTATATATAAAGGGCTCTAAGGAAAACACGCTGAGAGGGTTGGGGTAAATCTTATAAATCTTGGAGACTTTGTATCTGTAACCTAGAAAGACAATAATATTTCTCAGAGAAGACCACAAAGAAATCTCAATGGAAATCAAGCCTGGTTCTCAGAACTTACCATGTGTCTATTCAGTGAAGGAAGCTAGTAATTCTGTGAATTATCAGCCAGAGGCAGAAAACATTAGGATACAGATGATGGGAAGGAGTGCCGTGAAATTCTGTCTTTTGAACATAACATGGCCATCACAGAAGTTGAATAGCTACACAAAACCTACACAAGATCAAGACAGCCAAACCTAGAAGGTCTCTAGGCTCTACTTGGTACCAAGTAGCTTTTGGCAGTGCATACCTGCTGGAGGTGGCAGGGGATTCTTTTTTAAGATGTGGCTGATACCAGGTTCACTATGTTCTACTGCATGGCTCCATACCCATGGGAAGTACTAAGTGGACTTAGTGAGTTATCAAAAATAATAATAAAAGAGTGACACAGAGTTAAGACAGGGCATTGTGAGCGTCATATGCAGGGATTTGGAAGGGGGGAAATTGTGAAGAAAACATGACCATATTTCATTGTGTCTGCATATGAGTCTCTCGAAAATTAAGAAAGCATTTATAAAAAAGATTTCTGAATTTATTTTTCCCTTTTTATCATTTTTAAAATTTTGTGTGCATTCCTTCCAGTGTGCAGTAATATTGTCATGCCTTGCTCTCTTCCCTCATTCAGGTTCACATTTCTTCTTTCCTTATTATCTTTTCTTTTATTTGATCTCCACTCACTTTATTGATTGATTGATTGATTGATTGATTGATTGGATTTTTGAGACAGAATTTCTCTGTGTGACAGACCTAAATGTCCAGAATTCACTTTGTAGACCAGGCTTGCCTCAAACTCAGTGAGATCTGCCTGCTTCTGCCCCGTGAATGCTGGGATTAGCAGTGTATGCCACCATTGCTTGGCTCACCTTTTTATTGTACTTTAATTGTTACTTGTATAGCTTATTTTCCATTATTCTTTTTAATTAAGGAACTATTTTTTCATCTTATATACTAACCACAGATTCCCCTCTCTTCACTCCTTCTGCCCCTCCACCTTCCCCCCTAACCTCACCTCCCATCCCCTTCTCAAACAAGGTAATGCCTCCCCTGGGGAGTCAGTAGAGCCTGGTACATTAAGTAGCAGCAGGTCCAAGGCCCACCCCCTACATCAAGGCTGTGGGAGGTGTCCCACCATAGGTAGTGGGCTTCAAAAATCCAGCTCATGCACTAGGCATGAATCCTGATCCTTCTGCCAGGAGGCCCCTTAAGCAGATCAAACTAACATATTGTTTTCTGGTTATTGATTGTCATTAGTTAGATTTCACTAATTTAGTTGTATTTCTACATATTATTTGGGTTGCATTTGTAACCATTTTCGTGATCTATTTCCTTTCTGCTGAATGGTAAACAGATTCTATCTGGAAGAGATGATAAGAAGGCATCCAATAAAATAGGAAGAATCTCCATCCCAACAAATTCATAAATGACAATAAAGTTGTGAGAAACATGAAAAATAAAGGCAATCACACTCCTCTGAAGTTCATAATGTTCAATGACTAAAATCAGAGATAATGAAATAGCTGAAGTGGCAAAAGAATATCTCAAAATTCAATGTTAAAAGCAATAAAAGGTGGAGAGATGGCTCAGTAGTTAAGAAGACCAGCTGCTCCCCAGAGAACTAATACTAAAGTATCAAATGGTATAAGTATAGGCATTTTTTAACATTTAAAATACATGTGGGAGAGGGACTCATATGGTTAGGACCCTGTTTTAATGGAAGAGGGTGACTGTGGAGTTCCTTTTATTGATTTACATCCTGGAACAGAGAAGAACCTGCAGTATCCCTCAGATGTAAGACCTTCCTCCTGCTTGAGGATTTTCACAGTTGTCAAAACAACTTCAGGCTCTTCTGATGCCCAGATGGAGATGGATATTGGACACACTCATGCCGTTTTTTTGTTTTTTAATATATATAATCAATTTAATTTTACATATCAGCCACGGATTCCCCTGTACTCCTTCCTCCCACCCCCAAGCCCTACCCCTCCAATCCACTCACATTCTCACCTCCTCCAAGGCAAGGTCTCCACTGGGGAGTCAGCCCAGCCTGGTAGATTCAGCTAAGGCAGGTCCAGTCCCCTCCTCCCTACACCAAGGCTGAGCAAAATG